TAGTTATTGCTGGAACTTCTGATAAATAATATATCAAATAAAAAGCATATTTACCCAACTAGTAGGAACTGACAGGTATAGAGGAAACAACCACCACATTTTGTTGAAATGTAGTGATTTTTATCCAGTTTTTTTTGGGGGGGGAGTTCAGGATTAAATGTAAGGAGTCTTGTTAGACTGAAATTACACCGTAGTCCTATTATTAAATTTTATCAAGCTTGAATTTTATGTAGCTCTGTTGGTCCTCCTGTGACACAGATAAGTGAATGCCCTTTTAAATGTGTATTAATAAGATCATGTGACAGTAGCAGTGATCACCAGCATTACTCTCTTGGAAAGGCATAAGATTCTCTTAGTAATTTATTGATATAATTTTAATAGTAATGCTTACTTTTTTATCGGTAATTTTTTTAAATCTCTAACAGAATATTATACTACACATTTACTGTGTTTGTCCTAAGTGCAAGTCTTCCTTGGTGAATAATATAATTTGTTATAAAAGTCTAAGATTTCGTTTGGAAAGAATATCATTTAAAGTCTCAGGAGAATGATTTCATCTTTCTTGCCATCTTTTTGAAAACAATGAATTATGTTAAGGTTACTAGGATGTACAACTAATATGTATTTATGTTATTTTTTTAAAAAATTGTTTCGTCTATTATATTCTCAAATCTGGGATTTTAAAAACAAGCAATTAATCTTAACCATGCTACTTACTATCTGAGTTTAGCACAGGTCACATTTTAGAGTTGGGGATGGCTGCCCATGGTCACGGGTAAGAAATTTTTAATTAATATCTGATTTAAACCATAATTCTGCAACATTTAACTAGTCACATGCAGAATCATTTCTTAAGTAAAGAGTAAATGCAATCTGAAGTACATTTTTCTCTGTGATTGAAAATGTCAAAGTTAAAGATAGAACCCAAGTACATTTTATCATAGTATTTCTTTGGTAAGGATTTTAAATGTTCCTATTTTAATAAATAGAGAAAAATTATCCTTGGTGTTGGGGGTCTCTTGTCTGACCCCAGCCTAAATTCTGTTCTGTCAAATGAGAAAATGACATAGGTTGATTCCGGTGCAGTTGGAAGGTCCTGATTCTTGAGCACCTAATGGCATTGATCAAAGCAGTCGGTATTAGATCCATCTTTGTAAGTATTCCGAGATGACTTTCGTAATACTACTCATTTACTCATTACTCAAGATGTACTATGCCCTTTAGTCTTAAAGGATATAACCTTTAACTCATAATAATAATAATAATAATAATAATAATAATAATAATAATAAGGCAGTTACATTGGAATGGAAAACATTCATCTTCTGATCCAGTATGCACAGAGGAGAACATGAACTCATTTCCTTTCCCCATCCTAGAAACTGATTGACCTAAGAACCCAGATATCTAATGTTGAAGTCTTAGCTAGGTACTCTTAACAACCTCAAAGATTGTGAATGAAATTAAAATGCTTTCCAAACATTTGCTACTAGAAGCCAAGTTCTTCATAGTGTTAGAGCTAATTTCCTTAGATACCACCTCTACTCTGTTGAGAATTCCTGAAAGTGGACTTTTCAATAAAAACATTCTAGATATGTATACTGCTTTTGTGTTTTGAAAAATCTCTAATCATATTGACAAGTATTTTGATTTTATAATTGGTGGTGGTTGGGCCCAAAACAATTTGTACATAATGATCCTTGTAGAATGTCTGCCTAGCCAAGTCAGGTTCTATGATGTTGGGACCATTCACAGACAAATTGAAGTTATTTGTACAGTAGTTCCAATATTTTATGAAATTAGTATTTGACACCAGCACAATACTTGCTTTTGCACATTGGATACTTTTATCACAATTAATACCATGCATCTTCACGAGCACTTAACCCCATTACATGTTGGTGGTCTACTGAACTAAAAGGTGCAGGAGTGAGGACGTGTGTTCATTATCTTAAATGAAAGCAGTTGCTAAAGTCACATTTTTACTAAATAGTCTTATATTACTGTCAGTACTGCTTTAGGGTAAGAAGAGATAGTGACATACATACATTGCCAAGGTATAAGAGTGTGAAAATGCTGTCCTTTTAGGGACTGGAGCATATATGAGATATGACAGAAAAATAAATAAATGAGAGGTGTGTAATTGAAGTGGTTCTGCGCTCTGAGAATCTGAGAAAAGCTATTAAATATTCACTTTGGCATATACTTAAGATTCACTTAGAGTCCATCCATAAGTTCCAGGTGTAGGCGGAAGTTTCCTGTCCTGCAACCACTCTCAAATAATCAATCAGAGGCTTACTGTTAATTACAAATGCTCGGCTGATAGCTCAGGCTTTGTACTAACTAACTCTTACACTTAAATTAACCCATTTTTTTAATCTATGCTCTGCCCCATGACTTGGTACCTTTTCTCAGTACAGTGTGTCCGTCTTGCTCTCTCTGCATCTGCCGGTGACTCTCTGACTCGGCCCTTCTTTGTGTCAATATCCTCAGCTTGATTGTCCCACCTAACTTTGCCCTGCCTTGCTATAGGCCAATTAGCTTCTTTATTAACCAGTGAGAGTAATACATATTCACAGTGTGCAGAAGGGTTATTCCACAGCATTCCAGGAGTTGGCTACTAAGGACAGAATGATGACATCTAAATGCCCAAATCACAAATAAGATGAGAATAAAATGAACCTGACACCAAGCATCTCAAGACTATCTAAAACACTTGCTTTGGGGAATGATTTACCCATCTGTTCATCATCCTAGACATCCCTAATTATCATGTTTGTGCCCTTACTTCTAAAGCTAACTTTCAAAGGCACAATTTTGATCACATCACCTGGTGCTTAAAAACCTTCAGTGACTCACAATTCACTGCAGCATCAATTTGCAGCCTTTTCTCCTATTTTGACAAGCAAGTGTGATAGATGATGGATGCTATTCATTCCAAAGCTCCATAGCTTCCGCTGGTATACTCAGGGTTGATTGCAGATTCGAGCACGCTAGCTGAAACTATGTCCCACTTCTCTCTAACCCAGGAAAGCCTATTACAGTATACATAAGAGAAAATGGCATCAGCATGTGCTCCACTGTATCCCATACTAAATTACTTCCCTACTTCGCTTTTCTACTATTCAGAAAGTACCTGCCTCATGCCTTAAAATTAACTATAGTATAGGTTATGATACTACAAAGCAAAAAAAAAAAAAAACTCTCATTATTAGATCCAAGGTCTTTGTATAATATATAATACCTTTTCCTGTCTGAGTTCAAATCGACCTGATGGTTGCCTTCTCCTGTAGCTCAGCCTTAGGATTTGTCTCTTGATTTGGGTTTCTAAACGTTATGAAACATATATTGTGGTCATAAAAGTCTTTGCCTTTCTTCTTTCTGACAAAAGTGTTCTCTTCCCACTACTAAATCCCCTCAGCCTCTGCTTGGCCATGCTTAACTCGACATAAAAGCACAATTCTTTTTTTTTTTTTTTTTTTTTTTTTTTGCTAGACTAGGAGATCTTCTGAAGAGATAGTCAGTCCATGCTATGCCAGCCAAAGCCTCATGATGGACTATGGGACCACTTCTGTGTTCTTATGCTCTTTCATGTCCCAAGTATTTGGTTCCCACTTTCCCTTACTTGTAAACTTGTCTTTCTTTGCATTCTGACTCTTTCTTTATATTCGTCAAGGCCAAGAATCATTCTTTTATTCCATGCTCATAGAATTTGGTGGAAAGACTGCACCTGTCCCTTGAAACTGCTTTATTAAAAGTCATTGGTGGATGTTGGCATTTTTGTTACCTTCTATCAAAAGCTGTGCATGGAAAGGTGCAATGATTTATGTGAACAGGTGCTCTTTCATAATTGAGAAGATTATTTGTAAATGCCTATTCTTACACTGGCACTCTCTCACGGGGTCCAGTGCCTGTTATTCCAGCCCTGTGCTTTGCTTTCTTTGGCCAGTCTTGAGTGCCTCTCTTGGAGGGCTTGACTGCGTGTTGCCACATTCTTCAGGAAGTGGGGAAAAGCGATGGAACTTGGATGACTGCTTTGGTATTTCTCAGAATCTCCTGTTGAAGCATTGGGGGCGGGGAGGGGCATCAACTGTGATACAGTAACTTTCAACATCCTCTTAATAGTTACAAATCATCAGTATAGATAACACTGTATATAGTACCTGTTCATTCATGAGCTGGTTTTATGACTTGGATTAACTCAAATGAACTCAGGTGTTCCCTGAAGATTGTATTCTCCAGAATACAGACTAGGAATAGTAGGATCAGAAACAAGAATAACTTCTCAGTCAGTAATAGAGTTGTCAGTGTTGCCTTTTTGTCATGTTAGAAAACAATATGTACAAGGACAGAGAACTTCAATTCTTATAGGAACACTGAAGCTAAGACAAATGATGCTGTCCTACATAGTTCCAGGTATAATGGATAATCAATAAATAGCTTATCCTAGGAACTGCTGTCTGTTGATCATCCGTATTTTATTCAGGTGGGTGGTAGATAGATAGTTGACAGATAGATAGATAGATAGATAGATAGATAGATAGATAGATAGATAGATTGATAGATAGATAGATACAGGCAGACACACAGACAGACAAGAGAGAGTGATACATTGAGGGATTGGGTTTTTGCTAATTCCTGCTACTTATTTGCATTTTAAAATTGTATATTAAAACAATACCTCCGATGTTGGCATAAGTTTTCAAAGATGTTAATCTAAAGTTAGGAATCTTACCAATGAGGGAGCGATTTCACCTTGGCTCTTTTATAGCTTAAGAACTGTCTGATTTTACAGGTGTCTCAGCAACGGAAAAGGAGAGCAGATGGTCTCCAGACAAGTTCGGTCATTTTATCTCATAGCTCAAGAGGCTGCTTGGCATGTGCACGTGGTGTATTTTCTGCTCGACTTTGTTTTCAGTGTCTTTGCATGAGTTTTTATGCCAATGCTGAGTCCTTGCTTCTGTTTTTATGCTGAATACATGTGTGGATTTATCTTTTAGATTTCCATGTGGAGGAGGCACTGGACTGGCCTGGAGTATACTTGTTACCAGGCCAGGTTTCTGGTGTGGCACTGGATTCTAAGAATAACCTAGTGATTTTCCACAGAGGTGACCATGTTTGGGATGGAAAGTAAGTAATATTTTTCTCCAGAATGTATATGAAAATAAAATAATACACATTGCTTTTCATTAAATCAAGAATACTTATAGGTGAACTCTTATTTCATTTTTTTTTTTTTTACTTTTTCTCAAAAATTCTGAAGAGGGGTGAGTATATTTGTCTGGAAACATGTGAAAGTTAGGTGACTCTCCCTATGTAATTAATGTTGGTAGCTAGGAATGAGTATATCCAGGACTCAGCACTAATGTTCTACAGGGTGGGTACTCTGGTTCTGTGGTAGCATTTCTTTATTTCATGTCATCCTGTGCCATTGAAAACAGTGAACCTTCTGGACATTGTGATTGGAGGGGTTTGGCTACCATGAGTATGGGAGCCATCCATGCCTACACGTTTTCACACAGGTTTATTAGTATGTCAATGTATTCTTTTTATGAGCACCACATCTAAAGCCAACACTAGCACCATTTAACGTCTGCTGCCTCTTCCTCTGCATTTCCTTTCTGTCCTTCCATTCCCTCTTCCACTGTATTCTTGGGAGTCACTCGAAGAATCGTGTCTAGGATTTACTGCTTACTGTAGGCCTGCCAGTGTCTTAAATGGGCAGGCAATGTTATCACTGTGACAGTTCACATTTTACAAATGAAAACCAAGTGCTTCCCTCAGTGTCTCATCAGCATCTGGCAAAGCTTCAGGTCCTGTACATTGAAAAACAGAGTTGGCCACTTCATTGTGTGGTGAGAGCCTTCAATGGGTTTATAAGTATACTCAATGGTTATATTTTTTGTGTGCTGTCGAAACATAGTACGTTGTTTTGATTCTACTTACTGATGAACATCCATTTGTAATTTCTTTAATTGCAAATTTACACATGAAAGTAACATTTTGAATATGTTTTCAATGAAGTTTAATGAATCTTCCCCTTCCATATGTACAATTACAGAATCTCATCTGGGAAATTGGGGGATCTGCTCCTCTTTTTATGAGCTCTTGATTCAGATTGTGATAACTCATTCTGTCAAGCATACCTATATGAGTTCTTTTTGTGCAGTTAAATATGAAATTTAATCAACATTTCAAAAATAGATGGATACTTTTACTGCTGTTTAATTGTCCTTTCTAGTTGTCACACAAAGCGAATATAAAAAAAGATAGAATTTGGACGTCCAAAGTAAGCAATAGTACTCAGCATACCCATCATGCCGTTCTAGTTCATTGACTTGGTTGTTATTGAACATCTAATGGTATTTTAACAAGTGCTTTTAAAAGCAAACTATCACTACTCATTGTGGCATATTCTTCATTTTAATGAATATTGCTACATTTTCTGCATGGATTTCTTACCACATTTTGCCAGACAAGAAAATTACAGCATCATTTTCTCCCATTGATACAGTTTCAGCTGGCAAAAGCTGACGCTGGACAGAGTCCAGGTTTCCATTTTAATATTATATTCATTCCAAGCAAACAGTAGAGGCCGGGATAGTTAAGTAGCAAGGAAGGGTCAGTAGAGGCCAGCGTGGAGGAGAAAACACAGGACTAAGAAACAAGAGCCGGTAGAAATATGTGATAGTTCTGGCTGTAAAACTGCTTTTTCTGGCACCTGGCACCTATTTCATGTAGATACCCAGAATCATGTGGAAGTACATTCACCACCAAGCCCTGTGTGTGTGGCAAGATAAATGACATTTGAAAACGCAGAAGAAACTGATGGCTTTACTCACTATCTTTTTCGCCATTTTCCTCCGCTTTATTTCTTAGATATAAGAACGTTTGTAGTCTCCTTTCTCTCCCTGGCATTGTCTGTTGGTCACAGCAAGCTTTTCCATTCATAGTTTTGAAGATGTCTTCAGGGTCACACAGATATCAGCTTCCAGACAGTTTCTGCTTTATTATTCATGAAGACAATTAGAAACAGGTTACTCTGTAGTGCCTTTTTATTTGTTGTTGTTGTTGTTGTTTTAATTGATTTGGACTTATTCAAAGAAATCCTTAGATGCTGTTGTTTGCATGGCCATGCATGGCTATCCTTCCTGTACCTATGGATTGGTATAAATTAGAAAGAAAACATAGTTTTTCTCATTGAAGGCCAGGCATTGTGCGGAGGTAATACCTTCGTGTAGAACTGACACCATGCTGATAGAGACAAGAATTAAAGGTTGGTTGAGAGTGTATCCTTACTGCTTCATTGTTTGCACGGTGGCACGTCTTCCCTCAATCCCAGCCGAGAAGCCATGTGGCTTGTTCATTTCCCTTGAAATCTTTCCAAATCCAGTTTCTCAGCACAACAAAATTCTACACTCCACAAGGCAAAGGCTTGTTCTGAATCACATCTAAGTGATTTTTACCTATAGCTCTTAGAAAGTGGTCACTTCTACGTGTCAGACAGAACTTGGAGGTCATTGTCTCGGGGCTCCTTTGATGCTGTTGCAGCAGCTCTCTTCACCAGCTGCACCCTGATATCCTCCACCACTCTCTCTGCCACTTAAGCTGTTCCACATCAGTATTCCAACCAAAATTAAATTAATAAGAATCCTAACCACTTAACATCCTGAAATATTATCTCCCTTCCTTGGCTTGAATTCCATTTCTCTCCTGACTGCCCCTAACGTCAACATGACTACTTTCAAGACACCTCTTAGAGTAGAAATAGGAAGTCCCTGTTGCCAGCAGGGACTAGTGACGCTTTGAAGAGGCTTCTGTCTGCCCCGATGTGAGGGTGGCACAGCAGCTAGCCTCCTTTAAACTTGAAGGGTAGCTTGTCTCGGGGACAACTGCTTCTGAGTCTGTTCCTCAGAAGGCATCACCGCAGTCAAAGACTTCTTTCTGGCCCTGTCCTTCCTTTGTCTCAGCTGTGGTTGGCTTGTATCGGGAATAACACATCACAAAACTCTTAACTAGCTTTGCCCTGATTTTCAAGTGTTTAAAGTTTTATCCCCTATGTCATTTATCATTTCCCCACGTGGAGTCGGAAGGGATTTTGGAAATTGTTTTTATTCAGATCTTTAACTGCTACTGACAGGAAAAAAAAAAACAACAAAAACTGGGGAAAGGCAAAATTTATCAAGTTGTATCAATCAAGGATATGGTAGCCCAAACGATATCAACAAGATCCCTATTAGAATTGTATTATCATACTAATCTCATAGAGAACATAGTCTTCATACTGATAATCCAACAGAATGTCCCTAAGGTGAGTTTCGTAGCATGTATTGGTATGTCTTATTTCTTCATCCTTGCAGATGTCACATTTGGGGGCCTAGAATGTTGGATCAACCAAAGAAAAGCCAAGGCCTCACTAATACAAAATGGGATACCATGCGTTGAGCACTGCCAGAAGGAAATAATACCAGAAGGCTTGGTTTTAGCTGCCAGTGCATCTTTTCTATGTATCATTAATAGTTCTATGCTTGGACTTTTTCCAATATTAAGAAAATCCCTGTGGGGCTAGAGAGATAGCTCAGCCATTAATGGCTAGGCTCACAACCAAATATATATATATATATATATATATATATATATATATATATATATATATATATATATGTATGTGTATATATATATATGTATGTATGTATGTATATATATATATATATATATATATATATATATATATATTCCCTGTGTATGGACATGTTATCCAGGTCTGAGGCCCTTGCAGATGCCAGAAAGTTCTTCACATGCTCAAATTGTAGGGTCCAAGGAAATGCTAAAGAAAGACCCCAGACTCAAATAGTATGTAAGAGCAAAGAACGTTTATTACTATACCAGCATATACCACAAGAGGAGTGAGCAGACTCCTTTTAAGCACAGCTAGGGGAATTTCAGGGATGGTTAGGTCATCTCAAACATAATTGGTTAGGCAAGCAGCAGTTACATTAGTATACTTTTAATTGGCTGAGGTTTAATCTTTGGACATACTTGGGTAAGTTTCAAGGGGGTTGCAGGAACTGTCCTTGAGACATTTTGGGGCTGACACAGACCTTGTTCATGCTCTCTCCCTCATCCCTGAATGTAATTTGTTGATAAAGGGCCCTTGGTTGGGAGAGACACCTGCTTGCCCCTCTCAGAAAACTGAAACCTTAATTCAGTTATAAAAGTGGGAAAATGGGAAATTTTAAACCCTTCAAAATCTGAGTCTACCTTCATCACAATAATTTATGGTGGGTTTTCTCCTGTTTTTTCATGTCTTTATTTGTATTTTATTTATTTTGTAAACTAATTATTCCCCAGGCTCTCAACTATCTTCATAATGGTGTGATTATTTTCATCTGAAAGCAGTTGGGTTTCTTGTTGGACCTTTAATTTCTTTCTTCTAGAAGGGGCCACATTACCTCTTACTTTCCTTGGTGTTGTTTTCTAGATATGTATTAGTATCAGAGGATTGTATTGCCTGTGTGTGTTTATACGTGTGCTGTATGTCTATGGGTATCTGTGTGTTTGTGTGTCTGTGTGTTTGTATCATTTTGTGTGTCTGTGTGTGTTTTTGTTAGTGTCTGGGTGTCTCTGTGTGTATGTTTGTGTGTGACTTGTGTGTATGCTTGTGTTTGTATGTGTGTCTTTCTCTGTGTCTTTTGCTCTCTCCCTGCACGTGTGTGCATGTGTGTGTGTGTGTGTGTGTGTGTGTGTGTGTGTGTGTGTGTGTGTGTGTTTTGATGGGCACCAAATCCAAAAGTTTCTTCAGCTAGGCAAATACTCTGTCACTGAGTTTCACCTTCAAAACATTATTTTATTTTTTTTTAATAAAAGAAAAGAGCATCAGGTTGCTCTCTGTTTAATTTTTAATCTCCTAAAAATCTTCAAATATACTTATAAAATAATTCAAAAAGTTTTTCCAGAAACATATATTTTCTGGTTTTTCAGAATATTAAATTTAAGACTTTGCCACAGCTATGTGTCACTTCAATAGGTTTAACATTGTTTAAATATACAGATATTTTCATGCTAATTATTCAGGGAATAAGCTGTCCTTCCTATCCTTGCATCAGGATTCTGACAAACACACCTTTCCA